ATTACACTTCATAGGTAATTTACATGTTTACTCAGAGACTCGAATGCTGACTTTAAATGAGGACACCAAATTTGTGATATTCCCTTCAGGAGTATTTGTGCCCAACTATATAAACAAGTATTCAACACGTGTTTATATAGTTATCAGTCTCATATATAAAATATACAACTAATGTAATATAATATTCAGAAATTATTCTGCATTTAATAATGCTTTTTTGGTCCTAGGATATACAGAAACCCGTTGGATAGAAAAGGCTTATAAAATAAGAGAGGGCATTGTTTTTATAGCATTAATTAAAATTAAATTAAAGTAATCTCACACGGTCTGTAATGTGCAGCAGTTCTAAAGCTTGGAAATTACATGGCTTAATTGTCACTAAAAGGAACAGCAAATAAACTAATTCCTGTGTCAACACATGTGGGAAATGCTGTGTCTTCTAGTGAAAAATTAGTTCATGCATATCTGGTGGAGTGACTGCACTGTCAGATTATATTTAAATTGATTAAGAATAGGGTAGGGGATAAAGGCAAACAGTGCATTTCCTGGTCACCTATGGTAGCTTTTGATTAAAATACCTGGACCTTGAAACTGAGTTGCGGATTATTTGCCACTCATATACTATTCTGGTATGTGTTATCAGGCAGCAAAATTATTTAGAAAGCTAGGATGAGATAGATGGCATCTCAAAACCAAATCAGCTGGCAGAGTTAAGCAGTGATGCTGTTTACCAAAATAATGAATATGAAAACACTTCCCTGTATGAAACAATACACAGAATAGGCTTTTTTGCCTTTATAAGATGAAAGTACACCATTACTCTTCAGTTACACTGAGCAGCAGATTTGAGCCCTTAAAACCGGGGTGGGCAAAATGCGGCCTGCGGGCCAGATGCAGCCCACCAGGCCATTCTATCTGGCCTGTGGGGCCCCTAAAAAATTTAGGAAGTTAATATTTATCTGCCCCTGGCTGCCTGTTATGTGGCCCTCAATGGCTTGCCAAAATTCAGTAAGCGGCCCTCCACCCGAAATAATTGCCTGCCCCTGCCTTAAAATCATCTATTTTTTCTTTCTAGTATGATTTATGATCTAGAGACCTCTCAGGAGATCCTCAGAGTAAATACATTTCTTACCAGCTAAAAATTCAGCTTGTTTCCATACTGCTTAAACATTTTTTATTGTTCACTCAACATTTCATTAGTCAGGTGGTTGCTTTTGTCTGGGTGGCAAGATACTAACTAGATTTATGTTTGGTGCAGTCATGCTCTGGGGAAGGTTGGTCTATGTTGGTCCACTTATCTCTTGGCTAGGATTCAAAGTAGCAAAAAGTCCCTAATATCTGTGTTGTATCAGCTTTTCAGCAGGGTACCAAACTCGAAAGGGAGTTGCACGATGTAAGAAAATTATGGGCCCTGTTCTGTTTGGCCTAAAGGCTTTTGAGGCTAAATTCTGTTTCACTTCATGCATGTAAATGGTACATACTCAGCCACATAAATGCAGTTTTTGATGCTTACACACAATTTGGGATTTTATTTTTCTCTGTGAAGTAGAATTGTCTTGCATGCATGCCGCCTGGAAATAGCATGGAGAAGGAGGACCTGCTCATAAGCTGAGTATGAACCAACAGTGCACTCTTGTTGTGGAAAAAAAAGGCCAGGTTGTATTTATAGGAGTGTCACTTGCAAATTAAGGGAGTGATTCTTCTGCTCAAATACCTGCAAGGCAGTTACAGGGGCTGCTTACAGACATTAAAAGAAAAGAAAAAACAATGCGCTTTACCGGAAGAAGCAGCACATTAGTTCGACCCAGCTCTGCAGCATCTATATAGATTAGGAGCTTCAGCAGGGCTTTTAGGCACATTTATGTAAAGCTGATGCATTCAGCTATTAGATAAAAGTGCCCAAAAAGCCCCACTAAAGCAGCCAATCTATAAAGACATTGGGTGAGCTGGGTCCAACTAATGTGATGCCTCTTCTGGGCATGTGCCGAGCTTGGCATGGGAGCGCACTGAATTTAAAGTAAAGCACCATTTTGTTGGGTGGGGGGGTTCAACCTCTGTAAGCAGCCAGAGAGGATAGAGATCAGCTTTTCTCATTGGCCACAAGGGACAGGACTAAGAACAACAGCCTCAAGCTGCAGCCAGGAAAATTTAGGTTGAAGATTTAGAGGAAGTTTCTCACTAATTTTCTAATGTTTCTATGATTCTATGACTATAAGGTAGTCAAGCACTGGTACAGGCTACCTAGAGATATGTGAATCCTTGGAAACTTTCAAAATACTTGACTGGGATGGTATTTAGTCAGGGAAGATGCTGCCTTGAGAAGGGGGCTGGATGAAATGACTTTGTGAGGTCCCTTCTAGCCCTACTTTCCTGTGAACCTGCAAGTGCCATGTCAGCCCAAGGGAAATAGAATTTAGCTCTTTGTGATATTCACATCGTGTCAAGGGGCACTTCAGTGGATGTCAATGTGATTTATAACCCTTTCCATTGTTAGAGAAGTGTTAAAGAGCCTCAGAGTAAATAAGCATCTGATTCTAAGACCTGTCACAATTTCTGCTGTCTTTTGTGGGATCTGAAAGGAGATCGTGTTTTAGTCAGGTCCTTCAATGCAAAGAAACAGAGTCTATTCTGGGAAGGGCTAAGCATTTTCTACACCCATTGGGACTAGGGTCTGGAGAGCTCAGGACCTGGTAGAGGACTAAATGGGGAATGGGGATGTGCTTTTTCAGGTGAAAAATGCTGAACTGGCTGGTGCCAAGGGAGTCATTCTGTATTCAGACCCTGCTGACTATTGCGCCCCTGGGGTAGATCCCTATCCAAAAGGCTGGAACCTCCCAGGAGCTGGAGCCCAGCGTGGGAACGTATTGAACCTGAATGGTGCAGGGGATCCCCTCACACCAGGTTACCCAGCAAAAGGTAAGTAATGTTGTGAGCCATGGTAATCTTGTTGATGAAATCCCAGTGGTCCCAATATGTCCAGACTGGCTGGATCTCAGGAGTGGATGGGAGCAGACTATGAGATAGTTCTTGTCCTTTGGAGCAGATGGACATAAATCCATCAGCTCTTGCCATTGCACAAAGGAAATAGCGTCCATCTTTTGTTTCATTTCTGCATGAGACACACTCATATGAAGGAAAGCCCAATCTTCCCCCAACCTATTAATGAACTGTGTTCAGCAGTGGCTTCCAAATTGGGGAATGTTGCCTACACAAAAGATTGTGCCTGGCCAGAAAATAAGAATTTTGTGAGGAATTTCAACATTTGTTTTTGTTCCACACCAAAACAAGAACGACAACTTTCTAATTGTTTAATGGAAGAACGGAAAGAGACCACAAGAGCACAATAGTTAAGGCACTCACCTAGGACATTGGGGACCCAGGTTCAATATGAGGCAGAGAAAGGCCTTGAACTAGAATCTTCCATGTTCCAATTGAGTCCTTTCACCCACATGATATTGGTTGTTCACCTTTCTTTATGGTTCTTGGCAAAAAATTCTGGACTTAAGTGTCACAACTGTAGCATGGGCAGAGTTGCCTAGTGGTTAGGCTCAGGATCAGTGGTCTGAGTCCAGAGCCAAAGTCAAGGTAGGGTCAAAGACAAGGTGAGCATACTGAGGTCATGAACAGGGCCATGAACAAGTCAGTCAAGGAGTCCGAATCAGGAAGCTACAGCTTACATCACAGTCAGGAACTGACCCTGTGGCAACATAGGTCCAAAGCCAGAGAGTGATACTAAGAGATCAGGGAACAAGAGCTGGCACCACAGTTAAAACAAGGTGTTGGCATCAGGACAGTCTATGAGGTCATGCAGAAACTTATACAGTTTGCCACACACTGCCCTTTTGGTTTCAAAGCTGTTTGGGACATGGCCAGATTCCTGCCTGCCCAGCAGCCAATGACTGGCTACCAGGATGACTCTTTTCCAGCTTGACTGGTGGCATGCCAAACAAAGCAAACACAAAAAGGAACTTTCTAGAGAGAAACACTTAAATTATACAATCCCAAGCCAGTTTTAGATGCAGAATTGTGGACACCAAAGGAGAATCTGGGAAAAGCCTTTCTGAAAAATGTGTTTCTACAGTGTAGAAAATACAGTGTTTTGTAGAAATGCCAAGCTCAGTTCTAGGGTGGCAGGATAATTATCCCTAAATCCTTGGCACAGCGAGGCTAGAAGTCGTATGAATCGCTCCTCTGCATTGCATACAAAGTGGCTCTCTGGTTCCAGAGTACACCTATCGGTATGATGAAGCCAGTGGTGTAGGTCTTCCAAAAATTCCTGTCCATCCCATTGGTTACCATGATGCTGATGAGTTACTACGGTAAGTACAAGGGGAAGGGAAGGAGGGCAAAGGGAAACTTTCTTAGATTGTTTTTCAAAGTGTTGAAGTATTTGGAAGGAAGGAGAGAAAATAATTCCTATCATTCCTTGAGCATGTTCACTAAAACCACATGCTTTTCATCCAGGCTGTCCAGCTTCTTAGTGGCTGGGAGCTGCGCACTGTGGGAGTTGCACCAGCAGGACCACAGGCCCCCCTTACCTCCCTGGCTGCAAATTCCCCTGGCACTGCATTGGCAGGCAGCTCTCCCTCCACATGCACTGCCTTGGCTGTCGGCTCACCCTTTGCACCATGCCACAAGGTTCCCCTGCACTCCAGGCTGTGCTGCTCTGTCCTGGGTTTGGGGGCTGGAAGTGAAACCAGAGCCGGGACAGGGAGCCTGTAGACCCCAGCTGCAGCAGCAGGCAGAGCGATGAGAGGGATGTCAGCTAAGAGAAGCACAGGGCCTCTGACCCCTCATAGGCCGCATGGGGTGTGTATGCCACCAGCTGAATAGCCCTGCTTTATATGATGACATCCTCCAGGAGAAAAAAATAAGGAAGACAGTTATTAGATATTTATTACCATTATATTGGGTTCGTACTCAGAGATCTGGACATGAACATTTGTAATCAATCATAATAAATACAATAAGCAGTTCACTGAAGTTATAAGATGTACCTTAGTTTGAATATGGTAAGTGTAATAATTACCGGGACTACCTGATCATGCACACTCAACTAAGCCATCCATTAATGCTATTTATAGCACCCTATTTAGAAGAAAATGCTCCATCCACTACCACTAGATGGAAGGTACTCCCCAGCCAGGATGAATGTGCAATGATGCAGGCCAGTGCTGGGACCCAGTATTAAATTGATTCTGTAAAATTCTCACCTTCATGTAGGGTAAAACTAATCTGCTTGTAGTTTCTAGCCTAGACCAATCAGTGTAATAATAGCATGTGCAATTATGCAGTCAGAGTTACTGACTATTCCCCTGCTTAATGGTTTGTATTGGTCAAACAATTCACCTATATATTCAGTTAGTCATCCAGAAGTCTGGTGTTGGGATGGATGTAACAATCAGGTTTTGCCTTTTGGTTTAGTATGAAGTATTATTCTTATGATTTCTGGGTTTTTGGTTGTAGCTGTGTTGGTTTAAGGACATGGACAGGCAAGGTTCTTTGAGTGATATCTTTTAGTAGACCAACTGAGTGGCTGGAGAAAATGTTTTAGGCAAGCTTTCAGGTGCAGTCACCCTTCTTCAGGCATAGGGAATCTCTGCTGGTCTGAGACTCCAAGGAATGAGAGAAGCTAAAAGTGTAACAGTAGGTCAGTGAAAATGTAAATCCTGTCACACTTTCTGCATCCCTCATTCCTGTTTTCCTGATCTCCTACTAATTCCTTTTTCACTGCCAACTTCTTTCTACCTTGTATTCTATCACCACTGTCTCCCTTTGGCCTTTTTTTCCTCTGCCTGCTTCTCCCTCCCTTACCTGTTTTGCATTTTGTCTTTCTGATTTCTACCTATTTACATCTTCACTGACCTCCTGTTACACTTTTAGCTTCTCTCATTCCTTGAAGTCTCAGACCAGCAGAGACTCCCAGTCCCTATGCCTGAAGAAGGGTGACTGTGCCCAAAAGCTTGCCTAATTTTTTTTCCAGATACTCAGTTGGTCCAATAAAAGATATTATTCAAATAACCTTGCCTTTCTTAAGATTTGAGATTTATGTTATAGTAGTGCTCAGAGGCTCTCAGAGCATCACTGAGATGGCTCTTCATTTTTCAAACCCAGATGCAAGTAATGTATAATTCTATTAAACTCAAAAAAACAAAGCTCATATATAACATTACTCATATATGCAAATATCCACGATGGAGGCAGATGCTTTCTTTGCTCCAAATAATTTACAGTAGTTTATGTATATGTATAACCATCATTTATATATACTTTCATGTTACAAGTTAATTTTTATAAGTCCTATGCAAACTAAAACTCAGTAATCTTTAAGCAATAGCAATTAATGTGGTTGTGCGTCAGAGGTTTAGGGAGCAGCAGTAAAGGGGACACTGTGTGCTGGTACATATTCTTCAGCCTATTCTTTCTTCTCGGTCTCTGCTCTACAGCAGTGCTTTTGCTCTCTCTGTCTCTCTCTCTCTGCCTTGCAGGAATCTTGATTTGAGCCAGAAAAAAGCCAGCATTCAGGGCTGAGAACAAAAAGCTTAACAATCGTACTCACAAATATCTTGGCAGGGGTATTTGAAAAATTAGACCATGAGTGTCATTACTGGCAATGCTCACATGAAAATCTTGGAGCCCTGGGGGTGTTATAAAATTTTGAACTCACTGTCGCCCACACTCAATTGTAAGTCTTCTGTACACAAACTATAATAAAACAATGAGAGGGCATTTTTAAAAAGCAAAAATTTTTTTTTTAAGAATCCACAATGTAACTTCTTGTTAATTTGCTCACTTTGAGCAAAAAAATTCAATAGGGCAAAATGGCCTAGGAAGCTAAATCACATTGGCTCTCAGTAGGACCTCATCTCTTAAGTCACTTATGCCTTTGCAAAGCCCACTCCTTTATCATTTGTCTTTCATTCATTGTTCAGCTACTGGGCCTTAATCTTTTCTTCACCTGGTGGAATAGATTCTTTCCGCACAGTAACTCATAATACATTTCCTACCTGTGAATAAGGCAAGACAGACACCTCCTATTTGGTTTGGTTTTACAAAGCCTGTGTAACTCTGAAGTGCTACAGAAATAGAAATGTTACAACACTTCTAGACTGTTTGCATGAAGCTGTCAGCCTCAGGTTTACCTTTAACTCACTTATAACAGTTCTTTATATTTGTTTCAGTCATTCTGGGCCAGATTCTGTCTCTTATAGTATGTGCATGTTTTCCACGGGTGCATTTAAGAACCATCCATTGGCATGCAAGGGTGCAATTAGGCTGCCTATTAGGGCTGTGCAAAATTTTGACCGCCGATTCCTTTTGGAGGTGTTTCGAGTGTTTTGATGCTCAAAACTTCGAATCTGAAACAAAACGGGAGACATGTCGAAATGTTCAAAACAAAATCAAGCAAGTCAAAATGTTTCAATGGTGTTTCGGTGTTTTGAAGCTGGGCTTGTGGGGAAAGAGAAAGTAAGGAGAGGGAGTGGGGAGAGAGGGGGAACAGACTGACATCTGTACCTGGCTAGTGTCTGCCAACCTCCATCCTTGGCAAAGTCTTTGAAAAAATTATCAAGGCTCACATTTGTGAGAGCCCGGCAGGACAAATTAGGCTGAGGGGAAACCAGCACGGGTTCGTGGCAGGCAGATCGTGCCTGACCAATCTAGTCTCTTTTTATGACCAGGTTACGAAACGCCTGGACACAGGAGGAGGGGTGGATGTCATATACTTAGACTTCAGGAAGGCCTTCGATACGGTATCCCACCCCATACTGGTGAACAAGTTAAGAGGCTGTGACTTGGATGACTACACAGTCTGGTGGGTGGCGAATTGGCTGGAGGGTCGCACCCAGAGAGTCGTGGTGGATGGGTCGGTTTCGACCTGGAAGGGTGTGGGCAGTGGGGTCCCTCAGGCCTCGGTCCTTGGACCGATACTCTTTAATGTCTTCATCAGTGACTTGGACGAGGGAGTGAAATGTACTCTGTCCAAGTTTGCAGATGACACAAAGCTATGGGGAGAAGTGGACACGCCGGAGGGCAGGGAACAGCTGCAAGCAGACCTGGACAGGTTGGACAAGTGGGCAGAAAACAACAGAATGCAATTCAACAAGGAGAAATGCAAAGTGCTGCACCTAGGGAGGAAAAATGTCCAGCACACCTACAGCCTAGGGAATGACTTGCTGGGTGGCACGGAAGCAGAAAGGGATCTTGGAGTCCTAGTGGACTCCAAGATGAACATGAGTTGGCAGTGTGACGAAGCCATCAGAAAAGCCAATGGCACTTTATCGTGCATCAGCAGATGCATGACGAATAGGTCCAAGGAGGTGATACTTCCCCTCTACTGGGCGCTGGTCAGACCGCAGTTGGAGTACTGCGTGCAATTCTGGGCGCCGCAATTCAAGAGCGATGCGGATAACCTGGAGAGGGTCCAGAGAAGGGCCACTCGTATGGTTAAGGGCCTACAGACCAAGCCTTACGAGGAGAGACTAGAGAAACTGGACCTCTTCAGCCTCCGCAAGAGAAGGTTGAGAGGCGACCGTGTGGCTGCCTATAAGTTCATCACGGGGGCACAGAAGGGAACTGGTGAGTATTTATTCACCAAGGCGCCCCCGGGGGTTACAAGAAATAATGGCCACAAGCTAGCAGAGAGCAGATTTAGATTGGACATTAGGAAGAACTTCTTCACAGTTAGAGTGGCCAGGGTCTGGAACGGGCTCCCAAGGGAGGTGGTGCTCTCCCCTACCCTGGGGGTCTTCAAGAGGAGGTTAGATAAGCATCTAGCTGGGGTCATCTAGACCCAGCATTCTTTTCTGCCTATGCAGGGGGTTGGACTCGATGATCTATTAAGGTCCCTTCCGACCCTAACATCTATGAATCTATTATATGGTTTGATAAATTGGCTGAATGTGTGAATATTAGAGTTTATTGTGTGATGAACATGTCAACTGCACAATAAATGTAACATCTTCCAAGAGGCTTTAAAGCCTTAGAATTTTTAGTACTTCTAGGATTGGAATGAGGGTGTTGGTGAAGAGAGTCAGGGAGGCAGAAGGGCAGGAGCAGGGGGACATGGAAGAGGGGGATCCACTGTCCCATTCTAGCATGCCATTCACTAACCAGTCTCCTCCTCCACCACCGGTGGTTCCAAAGTGGACCAGGGGCATGGCTTGCATGGTGGGATCCAGAGGCACCAGATCCCACCATCAGGCGGGTAGTGCTCAGGCCTTGGTGGCTGCCTATCTCGCCAGGGATGTGGAACTGCTGCTGTGTGACCCCTTGGCGTGCTGTGCAAGCTGTAGCCAGATGTGGCAGGATCTGGCCCTGGTTGCCCAGGAACACCTGTCCTGTCCACCGACCAGCGTTCTAAGCGAGAGGGTGTTCAGCATTGCTGGTGGTATAGTGACACCCTACCACACCTCTTTGGATCCTGGTTTGGTGGAGCAGCTGGTGTTCCTGAAGGTGAACCTCCCACTGCTGGGGTTCTCCAAGCTCCACGTGCAGACAGACTGAGTGCCACCCTCCTCACTCCATCTGCACCTATTTCCTTTTAGTTTCTGGTTTCCAAACCATTTAATGTTCCACTCTCAGAGCTGGAGGCGACACTCACTGCATTACCAGCCAGCAGGGGAAGAACATGTACCTGCTGAGCTCCTGTGCCAGGACGAACTTGGATCTATGAGATGGGGCTACGGGGAAGGAGGAGGCCCCAAGTCCTGGGCATGACCTAAAACTGCACCCTGCCAGGGTAGGGAGGTCTGGTGGGACTGCCGGTGGTGCGGCAGTCCCCAGGAAATGCCAGGACCGAGGACCTCCCTGGTGAAAGGTGGTTAGGAGGCACCTTTTAACCTCCAGCTACCACATGTACACACAGTCCTGGCTATAGAAAGCCCAGACTCCTAAGATCTTTGAGAGGCCTGAGGTTTGCTGGTTGCAGTGGAGTTATGAGGCTCCAGGTGACCTCAGCTTAGCTGCCTGGGATGCCATCTGTGAGGCATGGGCTGCAGTGTAGGGGAGGTACAGAGCTGTGGAATCACACACACGGACAAGGTTCATTGGGTCAATCAGATATGTTTTAGTAGACCAACTGAATAGTTGGAGAAATAAATCTTAGCAAGCTTTCGGGTTGAAAAACCCTTTGTCAGGCTGAGGAAGCACCTGCAGGTGGTGTGGGTGCTTTTCCTGGATGGAAGTAATAGTAAAGAAGCCAGAGGCTGGCATGCAATGCAGGCAAGAAAGCTAGTCAGTGAAAATGGAGGCATCAGGGGGTGAGGGACAGACTGGGGTGGGTGGGGAGGAGAGGGGAATGTAGCAGGTAAAAGTGGAGCGGTATCTGGGGAGTCAGATGTCTGGCAGGTTGTAGCATGTTATAATTCCAATGTCTATATTGAGTCCATGAGTTTCTGTATCCAGGAGGTTTGTGAAGTGAAGTTCATAGGCTTATCTGAGAAACGTGTTTTGTTGCTGGCCACAAAGGAAGCTGAGGCTTGAGTTTCTTTTCTGAATTGCAGAGGTTTTCTTCTTGGGTGCTGGTCAAGCTCTCTGGCAAGTTCCCTCCTGGGGTCCAGGGTAGTAGGCCCATGCCTGTGGGCTCTTTGCCCCACTCGTGCACCTCTGCCTTACACCTCTCCGTTGCACCTTGTAACTTTTGAATTGTTACTGGCCACAAAGGAAGCTAAGGTTTGAGTTTCTTTTCTGAATTTCGGAGGCTTTCTTCTTGGTTGTTGGCCAAGTCCTCCTGATTTCTTCACTTTCTTTGACTCAAGCATCAGTTTGAGTATAGTAAGAGTTGTCTTCTGACTGGGATAAATACAGAAAACAAGTTCTGCAGGCCCATGTCATAGTCTTCTCACCCTTCTCCTGGTTACTGGCCATGTCTCAGCAAATTCGGACTAGGGTACATGTCTTCTGACTCTACTGGGGTACATGTCTTCTGACTTCTACCCACCCACCACTCTGTCTCCATGAGGCTTCTGTCTCCTTGAGTTGCTTCTCTGACTTGCAGAAGGAAGGAAGATTTTAAATAAATTATGATAACAAAAAGTAGTATAACAGAAGTGGGGATTTTCCTCCCCAGCACCTTTACAATATAAAATATTTTAAAACCTCTATAAAAAGGCACCTGCCTGCCTGCCTGCCCGCCTTCCTCCCTCCCTCCCTCCCTCTGCCCCATCCACCCACCCAC